GTTTTTTTTCAACAGTCCAAAAGACGTGAAATAAAGTGTGCGCATGCATAATAAAGCGTGCATCACAACGCTCCGGGGCGTGAAGAAAATCCTGTAGCAAATCCATGCATTTTTGTAAGAAACATATCCATATTTCAAATGTAATAAACACTTTTCTCTCACTTCATCTAACTGACATAAGCGGAAGCTGTTCTGGCGGATAACGTAGGACGTCGGCGTAGCGTGATTAGTGACGAACGCAGAGAGAGAACAAAACAAAACGGCGGTCACGAATTAGAAGTACAAAACGAGAATTTGTAAAGAAAAATGTCGGAGGATTTCGATATAAGCCAAGAGGAGACTGGTTTTCCTTTGCTAAAGTAAGGAAACTTTGCTTCCTTTGCCCCTGTAAACAAACTCGTGAGACTAGCATATGTCAGAGGTGTGCGTGCTGCGCATTTGTCCTACGTCATCCACCTGGAATGGCTTCCGCACACGACAGTCAGCAGAAGTGAGAGAAAAGTGTTTATTAAGTTTGAAATATGGATATTTTTCTTACAAAAACGCATGGATTCGCTACAGGAGGCCTTTATTCACCCCCCGGAGCCGTGTGAGGCACGTTTTATTATGGATGCATGCACTTTATTTCACGTCTTTTGGACTGTTGAACAAAAACACCTGCCTACTGCAATGATAACGCTTGGAGGAGCCAGGACAATTTTTAATATAACTCTGATTGGATTCGTCTGAAAGAAGAGTCATGTACACCTAGGATGCCTCGAGGGTGAGTAATGCGGAGTTTACACTGCACGATTTTCAATCTCGTCGGATCGTCGTTGTTTTCACACTGCGTGACTATCTGGGGTAGCATTCAGTTGCTGCTGTGTTCACATTGCACGATGGATTGGCGACAGGGGGATTCACACTGCATGACTTCACAATAGGAAGAATCGCCGACAGCTCTGTCTGGTCCGCAAACTACATTTCTCAACAAAACACACGCGAGAAGTGATAAGGAAATAACGCGAGAACCCGCGTACGTCAGACCGGAGTTCTCACGAGCAAGACTATAATTATTAAAAAAAAATATATATAGCCTGCAAATTGTCTGTGAGCTGATTTCCAGCTACAAGGAGAAAAAGAAAAACAGATTATGCAGGAGGGAGATGAAGGGAACAGGGATTGGGTGTTCTGCAAAGAGAGTTGGAGGTAAATAATTTTGCAGTAACTGTTATGCTGATGTTGTGGCTGGTCAAGCAAATGTTTGTGCTTGTTTCTGTATGATATAACTGTTCATATATCTATTAAAATAATGATATTCTGGTCTATAACTCCTCGCCGAACTTCCCTCTGGTCTGTATCTTGGTCTCTCATTGGCTGTAGGTCATCGACGATGTAATTTTCAGTCAGAAATCATTGCACACTGCGTGATTGTGAATCGCTGACAGCTCCAGATATTTAGCATGCCAAATATTTTGCGGGCGTCGGTGACGTGCCGGCGATTCCCTCAGATCGCGTCTTTGATAATTCACACTGCATGATTGTCACTCGCGTGAACGAGCACTGATTTGCCTCCGATTTCGGGGCATTTGTCGGCGATTTCGCAAAACCTGTCGGCAAGTGAAAAAACGGGCTAAAATCGTGCAGTGTGAACTCGGCATAAATCACAGGCTAATTTTCATTTTTGGGTGAACTAACCCTTTAAATACAAGATGGCGGCAGAGTTGAGAGATATTCATGCAATACTGAAAAATAGACTAATTTACCCAATTTTTGGGTGTGTATTTGAGTATTGTGTTTTATGTTTGTAATACAGAGTTTGTTTATCAGAATAGAACTGTTAGCTTAGCAATATGCTAACATCAAACTATTGGACGTCTGGTGTCCTATGCACTTCTCGTGAGGGTCAAGCTCTGTTTGTGTGTCACATAAGTTGCTGTCTACATAAGGCACAGTGTTGGGGATAAACTAAATGTAGCAATGCTAAATCATTAGCATAACAGTAGCTGACTTATTTTTAAGTGGTTCATTCGTGTGATTCATTTAAATAAACAATTTAGTTAGTCCCTTCGACATCTTTACATAAAATATTTAAATTATGCTGTTTATTACTTTATAAACACATCTTTTAATATTTACCATTCAAAAGTATGGAGCAGGCAAGATTTAATAATGCTTTTTTTTAAAGAAATCTCTTACAAAGGCTGCATTTATTTGATCAAAAATACAGTAAAAACTATAATATTGTCAAATACTATTACAATTTTAAAATAACTGTTTTCTATTTTAACATATTTAAATTATTCCTGTGATGCAAAGCTGAATTTTTTCTCATCTTCAGTGTCACATGATCCTTCAGAAATCATTCTAATATTGTCATGCTACGGTGAGATAAACGCACGAAGATGATGAATGCAAATAGTCTTTAATAAATCCACGCAAGGGTAAATCCAGGACAGAACAGGCTGGAGACACACATAGTAGACCAGACAAACACAGACGGCACATACTAGGGCTTAAATACCTGGGATGATGAGGACAATTAACAAAACACACCTGAACCAAATGACACAATCAAACATGAGGGAAAACTAGGTCACACAGAGCACATGGGGAAGGAAACACAACAAAACAGGTCCTTGAGGTGTGACAAATATGCTGATTTGCTGCTGAAGAAACATTTTTAATGTTACATTAATGTTAAAAACAGTTGTGCTGCTCAGTATTTGAATAGAAAGTTTTAAAAAGTGTTTATTTGAAATAGAAATCTTTTGTAACATTTGAAAGGCCTTTACTCTCATGTTTGATCAATTTAATGCATCCTTGCTAAATAAAAGTAGTAATTGCTTACACAAAAAATCCTACTGACTCCAAACTTTTAAACGGCATCTGTACTTATTTATATTAATTACCACAGAAATTAATCTTTTTTGTATCAGATGAACAATGCTAACTGTAAAAATAAAATACAAAATACTCCAAAAATAAAATTATTTGATTATATTTTAATATATAATCAGATTATATATTATATATACATTTAAAATGATAAACCTCCCTTAAATATTGTAATTAACACATTTTGATAGCAGCTGTCAACAGCTAGATTGACCGTCGAATGCTTCTAGTAAGTCACAGCAGACAGCAAGACAGCTCACCGGGCTTTGAAGCGGAATATAGAGACCGGCAGACAAAAACTGCGAGCAGAAAAAGAGACATTCGCCCAGGTATTTTAACAGGACTGAATGGCTTTGATGCAGCAGGTATAATGAGGCTCACAGGAGGGATACAAAAGGATCATCTCTCAGAAGCAGACTTCCTTGGTCTGGTCACTTGTTAACAAGCTTCAGCGCAGACTCTGGCTCTTTTGTTCGTCCCCACCGGCTTCCACACACAGGCAGCGGCTAATTGGCTGTTAGATCTGTTTTTCACTTCACAATTGAGATGAACCTGTCAGAGGATGTAATGAATGACGGAGCGTATTTGAGAAGCCAAATGACCCTGCTCTCAAATTAAACTCAAATGACAGAGACCCCTCTGAAAAGAGACATAAGAAAGGAATATGTATCCAGAGACGATGGCTGCTCCTGCAATCTGTATACAGGCTGTATGCTGCAACACGTTGGTAGTGAACTAGCAAATGCATTATTTCAGATGAGCCGTGTTTAACTCCGCATGACTGCGAGTGATTACTCCTGTGGCGCAATCTCAATTACTTTTCTGTGAGTGTGTGTCAGTCTGTGTGTGCATGTGTAAACGCTCTCTCTTCTCTGGCAATTTTCGACGTGAGAGTATCCCAAGCGACGTACGCGAGCGACCTATAATAGCCTATTCCATTTAAATTCATAATTTAAATTAATAATGCATTTGTATTCATCAAAAGGCCACCACTGTCATGTTCGGATTGAGTTTCGCTGTGGTTCACTCGAAGCCATCATCTCTGTTAATGGCATCACAAATACAAATCGACGTCAGGATTGATGCTGTCGATGAAAGCCTCATATAAATCTGCCTCAAAATATGAGAGATGTAGTGAAGGAGCTCACAATTTCCATTGCTCATCTTCTCAGAGTATCTTCAAAATATGGACAATAGGGCTTGCTCTTTTAAACGTTATAAAAAGGAAAACACCTTTTTTATGAAACAATATTTAAAAATAACCCCAAATTTTACATTTTTCAATTTTCAATTTATTTTCAGTTTATAATTTGTCATATAAGTTTAACAACTACAAACTACAATAGTAGCCACTACTGACAGATTATTATGTCTGCATGTATTACTGTTTTTTAATTAATTCATTAAATTAATTCATATTTATATTACATTTTTTATTTAATGTTTAAAGTACCTGCCAAAGGTATATTTGTCCAAAATTTCAGTAACAGGGCTGCAAAAATGTAAACTTATATAAAATAATTAGAAAAATAAATAAATAATAGAAATAATAAATAAACAGAAAAAAAACGTATATGATAAAAATTGTACATCGATAAAATTACATTACATATAAATTAAAAAAAGCCATTTTTGGTCATTTTTCAATACTGCAATATTGCATCAATCGTTAACATGTGTTTTCATAATGTCATAATTAGAAAACACCACCTGATTATGAAGCAATATTTAAAAAAAAACTACTGGCAGATTCCTTTTACCTACATGTATTGCTGTTTTTTAATATTTTACTTATTTTTATTTGAACTTTTTTTATTTAATGTTCATATATATAGACTAAAACTTAACAGGGTTGAAAAAAATTGAACCATATAGAAAATAAAACAGCATTCATAATATTTGATTTGAGCTCGTAGGTTTGGCGATAAACATTTTCTGAAGGTTATTAAAGAGTTTCTGACCTACTTTGATCCCCATTTTGCTGTAATTTCTGGCTATTTTGCATTTTTGTTCAAATTTTGTGTAAAAATATCTAGTTTCTCCATCCAATCTACTCTCTTTCACATAGTAGGTAAATGCCACTCCATTCACAGTCATTCTCTGGGTGTACTCAGCACACTTACCCTTGTTGCAGTTGTTCTCTCCCTCCAATAGAGGGCTCCAGGGTGGGTCTCCCTGGCTGGCAAAGTGTCTCATGTGCAGGTAACTGATGGTGAGGCGGATGATGGAGGCCTTGTCCAGCTGGCTGGTAATTGCCCCGGGGAGCGGAAGCATCTTCGCCAGCTCGAAGAACTCAAAGTTCTCCTTACCCCGCCGAGAACGAGCTGCATTGCGCGACTTCTCCTTCCTCAAGTTCTGCAAGCTAGGGAAAAATAAGACAGGATAGAAAAGAAGAGGAAAGAAGGAGAAAGGATGACAGTGATTACACAATGATAATGTACAGGGTAGTCAAGGCAAGTTAGTGCTGTTCAATTATTCCCTGATGTTTTATTCCGCATAACATAAAGGGTGTGATTTGGATGCAGGCACGAAACAGAAATGAGAAGCTAAAATATATAATTTTATATATGTAATAAATAATATCATTTGATAACAAAGTAGAATATCTAACAATAATATAATTTAATCGAAAAATAAGACCCAAATCTGCATTTTTTTTTTTTTTGAAAATTAAATATATATCATTACTCTAAAATAAGCTAATAAAGATGCTTTTGGCTTAATTAAAAATATACATATATTTTCCAGAATTTTTTTTTATATGTTTTTAAATATTTGTTTGGCCAATAATTTAATCTTGTATTTATTATGATGATATATGACACTTATTATTTTTTCTCACACAACACAAAAGGGTCTTTTAATACATGAAAATATGTAATTGATTTTTAGATTTTAGGAATGAGGTTCCTTGAAAAGGATTGTTATATTTGGGAGTCATTTGCATCATTTTTTAAAATTAATTCATTAATTTTTTATTTTACATGTCATTTCAAATTGCCAATTCTAATTCAAAATGAATTGGTTTCAATTCACATTGAAAATAACTGGTGTCTGTGTGAACACCCTATAAGGCTTATAAATTGTCATAAGTTTCAAGTTTTTGTCAATACATTTCAAGTTTTTGTTATTGAAAATGTATTAAAACGTTTTCCTTTTATTCAACATTACTCTTCAAAAAGCCATCCATATTCTCCAAAAGTTACAACAAGATGCCTTTAATTAGTTTTAAAGTTGCAATGAAACAGAAGTAGCTACATATATTTTCTTCTATATTGTGACACAGATCCAACTGACTTATCAAAAAAACAAAGCAGGACATGGACATTCATTGGTTGTTGACTGAATGAAGAAAGATTTAAATGCAAGCTTGCGGTTGATCGTAAGAAAGGGGAGGGTTTTGATTGGATGAAATGATTGGAGAAGTCCTGCATCCATCACAAGAGAGAAGTCTGTCGTTTCACCAGAAGATCAAGTTATGACATTGTGAAAGGGTCAAAAAATATTGTATACAATGAAACATATGCACGAATAAATCATTCACTATCAGATCAAAACCATGCATTTAGAAAACAGGGTGAGTTTTCATTTCATGAGGACATTTCCAGCAGAGCCCTCACTGGAGATCGACAATAAGTGACAAGCTGTCACTCTGGATCTCTTTCGATCCCATCAGACTTTTTCCAAGCGTCTCGGAGCATGATGGCTGACCTGTGATCAGGTTCACTGTACAGCCGGTGGGAGGCCTGATCTTACATCAGAAGCCCTGCACCAGCATCCAGCCCGAATCCAATGGCTGCGTTTCTTTCCCAGGCTCCCTCCTGGGTGGTGAGCCCCAGTCTTGATTGAGGGATCAATGGAGGGAGGGGTCGTCTCGGAGGCAGGCCCAGGTAGCTGCTGCTCTGATTGGATATCGACTCTCAATGGGGCCTGAGTGGAGGAATTATGTTGTCACGGCGACTCTACAATTTGTGACTGCGCCGTGCCGAACGCGCCTCTCTCGCTCTCTTTCTCTGTCTGTGACATTGATTCTCATTCATCCTGCAGATGCAGGGCAGTATTAGCATGGGAGGGAGGAACGGTGTGGAAAAATGTGTGTGTGTGTGTGTTTGTGTGTGAAGAGGGGGATCCACAGAATAAAAGGGAACTGCCAAAGAGCACACACAAAAGAGTCAGTTCCTCAAATTGAAAAGGGACTAATTTATTTGTTTAGACAAGACTGTGTTGTTTTTAAGGAACGGAGTGTGTAAATCAGCAGACGTATGTGTTTGTCTATATCAGGGTTTCCCAAACGAGGGTTTGTGAGTTGATGAAAAGCTAAAATTGATTGTATCCCATGTAAAATTAAATTTAATAAATGAGGGTTCAAGATGATCGTGCAAATCTTAGTGTGATTATCAAACCAAAGGCTGCGATTTAATTAAATATACAGTCTGATGCACTGCATGTTTCATAGTGAAGTATGCGAGTAGCCCGTGATTCGGTTTTTCCTCATCGTCTGTGAACTTGACGGTTCACAGTAAATGCAGCAAATGTCTACATGTGCTACAAGTTTAACATGCATTTGGGAATGCAGATTTGCTTTGTTTATGCATTCACATTACTATGCATCTCTGCAGTATTCTGACAAATTAAAAGGTTAAGGATTTTAAATATTTAAAGTTCAGTTTGAAAGTTTTAAAGTGAATTTAAGACAAATATCAGTATTGTAACTTTTAGTGTAATATAAAAGTATTATAATGGTCAGATATAAATTTTTACTTTGTCATTTACAATAGTAATATATTTATATCTTCACTTTTATAATTACAGTTAAAATAACAAATAATAATAATAATACTTATTATTCAGTCATTTTTATTTTACGATTAATAATTATTATTATTAATAATTATTTCTTTCTTTTTGATTGGGTTGCTAAAACACCAGCGTGAGTGTGATGCGGACTGAGACACACTCACAACTAAAAGGACTGAGTCTACTAAGTCCAGCAAAAAAGTCAAAATAAAATGCTTGCAAATATGTACTGTATATGAAGAGTTATTTGCAAAAACAGATAACTCCGTTTTTCAACATTTTCAAAAAATCATGTCGTTATCATGTTTTTATTGTGTAAGTTAGCTGTATTTTTATTTTTTATTTTTACTAAATCAAAATAACCCAACTGCAGTTTGATTGAGATTAATTGGAATGCACAATGAAAAAAAGAGTTATCTGTTTTTGCAAAAGAACTCTTCATATATACTTGCATGTCATGTGACCATTAACTGACCGTGAACATGAGAATGTATCCAAGAATTATTGAAATATTAAATTGAAGTCTCAGGGGATACTTCATATAAATATCTTACATCTAAATGATGAAAAGTTTGGGAACCCCTGGTCTATATCACTGTATTGTATGTGTCTTGGTAGATCGGTGTTTTAGCCCTGTGAGATTTCTCTGTGTGTAAACAGCATTGTTCAAGTAAAAAAGTCTCCAAGAACATCTCATTGTTGTACTAAGACGGCCCTGGAGGGTTCAATCAATACGGAGCCATTGATTCTGTTTAGTTTTATATCCTCCACAGCTGAGCAGACATTAATAATTCTACTAAAACTTAGTTAATCTTCTGCTAATGGATCCAAACCAAGGGCTTACACTGAGCTGTGGCAGGAGCGAAAGCTCGAAAGAGAAATGGAATTGTTAGCTGTGTGTTTGGGAAGATTCTTCATTTGATGCATCAGTGTGTGTGTGTGTGTGTGTGTGTGTGTGTGAGTGTGAGTGTGTGCATGTGTGAAAATAAAAGTAAACAAAAGTAGCACTGTTCACTTAATCAAATCACGATATGGACTAGTGTCTGTGCAAAAAGACTGCTATTTAAATATGAAGTCTGCTAGTGCTGCGTGCCTCTGCTTGAATGAGTGTGAAGCTAGTGGTGTTTTCAACGTTTGCCGTCTGACTATATGAGGACATGAACACATAATCTTCATCTCCAGAGCTGCTCTGAGAGTCACTTCACCAGCACTTCTCCATTTCATTTGAGAAAACTATCATCATCATCATCATCATATCATATATACACACAGAAACTCAAAGGTCTTTATAACAACTTATCAAAATAAAAGTTTGGTTTAACATGGAAGAAATTGTGACAGAAATATATTAGTTGTTCAGTAGAATGTACTTCTCAAAGTAATAATGATAATAATAATGGTAATTAAAGTATTAAAACTTTATATTTAAGGAATTTTAAACAATTTTCTTCTATGCTTAAATTTTAACATTAACCCTTTGTTTTGTAGTTTTATGAATTTAATTAAACCATTAAGGAATCCAGAAAAAGTCTAATTTAAAAAAATTCTAATTCTAACTTTCAATAAATTGCTGTTAAAGTGCCTCGTGTTTTCAATTAATTAAACATGCTTTTGATTACTAAAATTTCATTTAACCATGAAAAAACTAAACTTTAATTTAAATAAGAAAAAAACTGAATCTGGTAAAGAAAATGAAACGTATTTGAACGTGTTTGTGTGAAGGTGTGTTTTTCCTCACCAGGGTAAGGTGGGTGGTTTGGCGAGGAGCCCCTGTAGGAAGTCCCACTCCACACTCACACACTTCCCCTCGCTGACGAACGGCATGGCCGCCATCACGCCCCCTATGGGCCGCCACCTCTAACTCAGGCTGTGATTGGCCGAGGTTATGTCAGTCCGAGACCCCCAACAGAAGAGCTGAAAGACAACAGATCAGGAGGAAGAGACAAATGAGTATTGAAATAAACTACTGTGAAGTAAACTAGATTTTTACACTTTCTCTTGTAAACCTTTGTGGTTTTCAGCATATTCATATGCAGTTGTTTGGTAAATGATAAATTCATATAACCACTAATACTTCACAGATTTAATTTTCCATAATCCTCATGAATTACATTGACTAAGTACTGCAAGAATAGCAAACACTGTTTACTATTATCCTAATATATGAATAGTACTAGCCTAATAGTACATGAGATATTTGCGCAATATATCACAAGTGCAAGTGTCGGTTCAAAAATGCTTCAGACAATTTTAATATCGAGTCACTTACATTTTAAACACAGTATTGTCAGTTCCTTCAGTTCAGTTGTGAATGAATCTGTTGAATGATTCAATGACTCAATGACTTGTCAGTGTTTTGGAACAAATCAGTTGATTGAATTATTTAATGACTCACTAATTCACTCAGAAATAAAACACACAAAGATCTGATCTCATCCTTATCCAATCTGTCTGGAATGACATGAAGAAACAGAACAAACTGAGACAGAATAAATCCAGAAGAACTGTTGGCAACATCTCCAAGATGCTTAAAGAAACCTACCTGAGAAACTATGCACAAGAGCACTGAGGGCAAAAGCTGCTTTAAATGCAAAGGATGGCTTTATGCCTATTTAATTTAGCTAATAGAAGTTAATTGATAAAGAAAATCTATTTATGACATTATTTTTGACAGCATCCTCATTTTACAGCATTTTTACCCAAGTGCCTACTATAGCTTTGCAGGTAGGATTCTTGAAGCATCTTGAAGACTTTGCCAACAGTTCTTCTGGATTGAGTCTGTCTCAGTTTGTTCTGTTTCTTCATGTCATTCCAGACAGACTGATGATGATGAGATCAGATCTCTGTGTGGAGCACTGGCTGTTGTCAGACAAAAATCTAACTGGATTATTACAATTAATGGCAAAATGAACGTTTGGAAATGTAAACTGAAATTTCCTACTGACACACTACAGCAAAAGATAGAAGTAGCTAACTTAAAACCATTTTTAGCTGGTGAAAATATTAGTATTCTAATAATTTTGGCCACGACTGTATATCCAACTTTACATGAAGAGCTGGGCGATAATATGTAACATGTTGTGAAGAAACAATCAGGCAGTTGAGATTTGCAAAATATTTTGTGTGTGTGAGGATATAATATATATGCAACTTTATATTTAAAGCTGTGCAACTTCAAACAAACAATTACAATTACATTTTGCAACAATATAAACAATCATGCAGCTGAGATTTGCTATACAGTATATATTGTTTTATGTGAGTCTACTGTATGTATGTAAATAAAGGTATAAGTACTATATATTCAACTAATATCGCTGGGTACTAATATAGTTTACATTTTTGGATAATATAACAATCAAGCAGTTGAGATTTGCTATAGTCTAGTACATAACATTTAACGTTGGTGTACAGTATATATGCATCCAGATACGTTTTTTTATTATTATTACAAAATGTATACAATAACAGCTTTCTCTCTTTAAATCCAACTGGGTTTGTGGATGTACAGCAAATCCCAAATAACAAACGCACACACAAACAGACTCCAATTCCATGAGTTTCCACTGGGGCTGTTTGGCCGCAGTGCTCGCCCTGGCTCTATCTCTATGACATTTAAAGGGCCAGCATGCCCTCCAGCAGCGTGATGCCATATCCACAGGCGTGAGATGCCCGCTGGCCAGCTCTGGGTAAATCACAACACAGTCATACTGGCTACATGCCACAGCCCTACACTACCCCTTTGACCTGACCTGGCACGGTACACACACACACACACACACACACACACACAACATCAGCAGATTCATCATATGGGTCGATGCCACCTCTGACACAACATGAACTTGTATAAAGCCCTGTTAATTTCAGGTGAGCCCAAGACAAGCACTATAACATCATCATGGCCCATAACAACTTAGCATGAGCTGCAGAGACTGTATGAGATGTGCTTTTATCTGCATGTTAGCGTAATACAACACTTTGACCCTGTTCTGTTGCACAAAAGAGAAATTTAATACATTGGAAAATACAGGTGTAGGATCAATTTTAACTCAGAAATTGTTAGTCAATTTCACAAATAATTAAAAAGAATTGGCAAATAACACATTAGAGTCAAATAGTATTTTCTTGTAAAATGTACTCCAATAATCTTTGTTCAAATGTATGAGATCTCTTTAATATCTCAATTGTTTCTCAATACAGAGAGAGCATGGAGAGTAAATAGAGAAATCTCCCACTTCTCAAATTGTTTTTTTCTAGATATAGATTCAATCAATATGTTACGCTATACTGATGACAATGTGAAACAATTTTTGAAACAATGATTTTGAAAACAACAATTTTAGAACAATTTTCACTCTGAAACTGCTAATACATTTCACGAATAACAAAGAAACATTGAATTAAACATGAAATTTTGAGCAAGAAAGACTGAAATAGGATTTTCTTATAATCTTTGGTCAAATCATTTTTTACAGTATATGATATCTTTTTAATATCTCAACTGTTTCTCAATAATGAGAAACAAAGCATGAATACCAAATGGAGATATCTCTAATTTCTCAGATTGTTTTTCTAGAAACAGACCCAATCGATTTATCTCCTCTACAATGAAAACAATTTGGAACAATTTTAAAAACAATTTTTAATGATGATTTTGAAAACGATTTTGAAACAGATTTTACTCAGAAATTGCTAGCAAATTTCACAAATAACTACAAAGAAACACACTGAATTAAACATTCAATTTTTAAGTAGTAAGATTGAAATAGTATTTTTGTGTAAAACATACTCTAATAATCTTTGTTCAAATCACTATTACAGTCAGGATCATGGACCTGTTTTGTTGCGTTTTGCCCCGTCTTTGTTCCTGGTTTTCCTTATATGGTCTTTTTCCTGTCCTCGTTTAGGTTAATTATGATTCCTGGCACCTGTGTTTGTTAATTATCCCCAGTATTTAAGTCCTTGCCTTTGCGTTCTGTGTTGGTCGGTTCTACTCATTATGTTTGTGTGTTTCCTGCCATTTCCAGTGTGAATGTACCCTGTGTTCCATGGATTAAAGACTGTTTTCATTTATTCGTGCCTCCTGCGTGCTTCCTAAACAGCGAACTGTGACAGAAGAACCAACCCAAATCGTTACCTCCGTGTCTACCCTCCGTTTTTGTTTTTCATTTTTATACAGTGTTTTTTGTTTCCGTAGTTCCCCTCATGGATCCCTTCACCTGCCCGGAATTCCTCCTCCTCCTGTTGGAGCAGGGGGACTGATCTCTCGAGAACCATACAAGACTGTTCCGGCTGTTAGCTAGCACCACCAGCTGTCCGAGGATGGTCCTCAAGAGGATTTCGTCGCCTTCGTGGAGTGGACTCTGGCGAGAAACTGATCGCCATCCACCACCTGCCCTGTGGATGATCTCGTCAGATCCACTCCAGACCCACTGCCCAGCCCACCACCTTCCCGCGGTGCGGAGCATCAGCCCGAGCCCACCAATGACGGAGAGCCAATTCCCGCCGCGATCGACGAACCAGCGCAAAGTCGAGCGACTGAGAGGAGGATCACCCCGGACGTGGAGCTCAACTCGTCAGACCAGGTGTGAGAACCGGCGACAATGCCAGCCACGAGGGAGAAAGCCGCGGACCGTGTGAGCGCGGAGAGGAGCTCCGCCCCCTGCACCGCGGCTGAGGGTGAGCTGAGTATGGCATGGCGATTGTGCCACACCGAAGAAGAGAGGGCTCCAGTCCCCGAATCCAGTCCAGAGAGCCCTCCAGTGCCCGCTCCTCAAAAGCGCCCTTAAGTGTCCGCTCCTCCAGAGCACCATCCTGTTCCCATGTTCAGTCTAGAGGGGGTTCCCGATCCAGAGTTTAGCCCTGAATGCCTGGAGGTTCACAAAGGCCCACCCGCCCTCTCTCCCTCCCACCCGCTCCTGCCTACTCCACCGCTGTCGTCTGGCAGCCCCTCTGCTCGCCCTCAGCCCACCATCATTACGGTGCGAGCTCCGCGGGTCTGCCATCCTCCAGCGTCTCCATGGCTGGAGAATCCCTCACCTCCGACTCCAGCCTCCGAGGCCTGGACTCCGCCTCGGCCCGTAGACCCAGCGGCTCCTAGCTCCCTCGCCTCCAATGTCACCCATCGCTCCACCGGGCTCCCTCGTCCCTCCGGCTCCGCCTTGGTTGGGCGCTGACCCGCCATCGCTCCTCCGGCTGCACCTCGTCGCTCCGTCCCACTGGCTCCGTTAGGCTCCTTCCTCCCACCAGCTCCACCTTGGTCCTCAGTCCCTTCGGCTCTGCCGTGGATCTCCGGATCTCCGCCTTGGTCGGCCACTCCGCCTCCGCCACCTGCTCCACCGCCGTTGGTCGGCCCTCTGGAGTTGTCGGCCATTCCTCCTCTGTGGCTCCTCCCTCTGTCGGCTCCACCGTGGGTCGCCATCATGGCTGTGGCCTGGGTCCTGCTTGGCTCCTCCTTCTCCGGATCCCTCCTGTTTCCTCCCTGGCTCCTCCCTCCATCGACTCCTCTCTGGACTCTGTCTGCCGGCCCCCTCACGGACATCTGTCCTCCTCCTGAGCCTCATCCTTAGTTCCCACCCATTTCCCCCCCTCTGTTGTTCTATGGCGCGAGGACGCACCTTCCGGTAGGGGGGTGATATGTCAGGATCATGGACCTGTTTTATTGTGTTTTGCCCCTGTCTTTGTTCCTGGTTTTCCTTCTATGGTCTTTTTCCTGTCCTCGTTTAGGTTAATTATGATTCCTGGCACCTGTGTTTGTTAATTATCCGCAGTATTTAAGTCCTTGCCTTTACGTTCTGTGTTGGTCGGTTCTACTCGTTATGTTTGTGTGTTTCCTGCCATTTCCAGTGTGAATGTACCCTGTGTTCCATGGATTAAAGACTGTTTTCATTTATTCGTGCCTCCTGTGTGCT